ATTTTAATTTTTTTATAAAAGTTTTATGATTTAAAAAACAAAATTAACACACTTCTGTTATTAAAATTGAAGATTGAAATATCATTGTTGATTAAATTAATTGTTTTGTTCCGAATGAGAGGAAATTTATTAAAATCGATCATTTCAAATTGAACTTGAGAATATTGGTTAGAATTAAAAATGATGCTAAACTCATCATTCTCACGTTACTGCAGTAACTCTCCCAATCTTATCATGTATAATTGAATCAATTTCGTCAAGGAATGAAATAGCTTTTTTTTTTTTAAAAAAAAAATTGTTATAAAATGTTTATAGCCTTCACATACGATGGATCGAATTCGATTGGAAAAATTACAAAATTTAAAGGAAACAACATACAGTGATAGTAATATCATTCATAAAAATGCAACAAAAGAACCCAATGATGAAAATTTTGTCAAAAATGGGTTTGTTATTAAAATATCAAAAAAAAAAAAGAGAAGGTTGCATATCCATTTTCATTCTATTTCATTTTATAATTTTATATTTTACAAGTAAAAATTTTAATCGGATTGCAGCAGTGAGTGCTTTCATCGCATAATAAAAAGTTTCATCGTTGTAAATGCGATAAAGATGTAATGTGAAAGTAGCAATAGAGAGAGAGAGAGAGAGAGAGAGAGAGAGAGAGAGAGAGAGAGAGAGAGAGAGAGAGAGAGAAAGAGAAAGAGAGAGCATTTAAGCAATGAGTTTCACATTGTCGTGTATTTTTAAACACTTAGAAATTAAACTGATTATTTGAAAAAAATTTTTTCAAAATAATGATAAAATATTGGATAAGAGGAATATTTTACATATATAATTAGAAATGATCAAAGATTGTTTTGTTCATTTCTTTAAATGCGATTAAATTCTTTTTATGATTACAATAAGTTATTTTTTTTAAATTTATTTGTAAATGTGTAAATTAAAATAAGTTTGCTCAATTTATTAAATGATAAGAAAGGAGTAATTAAATAAAACAATCAGATTTGCTAAAACAAAACATGACAATTTGGATGGAAACTCCTTGGCAAATAATATTTCACAAAATGGAAAATCTGAAAATCCAGATGATTTACCCATTAAATCATCAGAATCCGGAGATTATGATCACAGTATGTTTTATCGTAAAATATTAATTTCAAATGAATTGCTTCAGTGATAAAATTTGATAATTATTAGCACAGCAAAAGTTAAGATAAATTCACACACAGTATGGTACGATTAATGATAAACTGATCAACCGTTTACAAAAGTTCACTAAATGATCAAAAATATTCTGGAATAATACTTATAATAGCAGAACAAACTTTCCATCATCTTTCATTTATCGATACAAAGAAAAATTCATCTCTTCTCTCAAAAAATTAAAAAATGAATATTTTTTATTTTAATTGAAATATTCTAAAATTTATTTCCTATTCTAAAATTTATTTTCTATTCGTTATTTCCTATTCTGGAGAGAAATGTATAAATATGAATTTTTGCAGGTTATGCACCATCTGAACCATCAGCACCAACGCGTTCCATTTTATCGTTGGTTCGAAAAAGTTTCAGTCATCAAAATTTAGCTTTTACATCAAAAACTACCGGTATCCCACAGGTAATTTTAAGTTTGTCAGTTTATATTTTATTTTTTTTTTCACCCTTCGTCATTGAATTTTAATAAAATGTAGGAAGAAAAAAAGGAAAATAATAGAAAGAAAAAACTTCAAATCAAATGAATTGAATTTCCACATTTCCATCTCAACGCTTAGCAATTGTCAACAACATTAAATACTTGACATCATTCTATTCAAAACGATTTAAGCTCTTAAAAGCTTTGATTGCAAGAAAGTTTGTTCCATTAGCTAACTTCATAATTATATATCTTTACATTTAGCTGTACCCTTGTAATTCTTGCATTATCTTTTTTAAATGATATTCTTGACTAATTTTAGCATGTCCAAGCATCATCTAAATCGAACCGAAAGGATAACAATATACCTGTGAAACTGAAGTCTGCTTCATCGATGAGAAGTATTGCGTCAAATTCATCATCAATAGCAAGCATATCAAGATGTGGAAAATGTATTCAAAATGTAGAAGTGCTATTAAAAAATCCCGAATCCTCACTTAATGAAGCACTGCAAAAACTTAACGCCGATGATTGGTATGTTTTTTTTTTTTTTTGGAAAATTTAATATTTCTTTTTTTTTCAAATATTTTGGATGGAATGAGAGAAGCGGAAAGAATGAGTGTGACGTAGATTGTCATGTGTAAAATTATTTGCGTTAAATTTTTGGAAATTTTATCAGGAATCTGATACTGTAAATTCTAAGGGTTTAGATGTATAATGTAATTTAAAATGATTCTTTTTTCAAGGAATGGAAAACTTTGTGGCATCGAAGTGATTGTTATCTTAGCTGAAATGTCATCAGCTGTGGTTGCCGGAAATATTCATCCGGTTGTTATGAAATTATTAAGTGAATGTAAAAATTTACGTTCAACAGTTTCTCGAGCAGCAATTTCCTCTTTTGGAGTTTTATTCGAAAATCTCAAAGCAGTTATGGATTCTGAAATCAAAAAGGTGTTGCATTTTTTTTTTTTTTTTGTAAAATTAATGTGTAATTTAAAAGGATTTCATTGGGATCAAATTTATTAACGAATATTTTCATCATTTCAATAATGTCAATGAGATTATATTTGCTTTTATTTTTGTTAGAAAAAAAATCAGTAAGCTATCAGTGAAAGCCTATTAAGCATTTTCCGCAGTATTTGAAATATATTTTTATTAAATTTCCACAATTGTTCCTCAGGGATCTTGAAGAAAAAGTTATATCACATTTCTTTTCGAAAGAAAAAGGATCTAAAAAAAAAAGTTATATCAAAAATTTCAGTAATAAATTTATGCACTCCGTAAATTTTCCATTCCGATATTTAACTTGAAAGTTGTAATGGGTAATTTAGAACAAAGCATACGACGAATTAGCGCAATAAATTAGGTGTCAATTATAACTCCACAAATTTATGAAATTGCAAAACAATATGATTAATAGCGCAAATAAGCTTTTGAATGGTACTACAGGTGATTTGAGGAATATTGCTCGTGCTTAATTTTTTAAAACATTTTCAAATATGATTAATTTAGGTATGTTCCGTATTGATGCAAAAAGCCGGTGATGTAAGTAATGCATTTATTCGTGATGATGCGACAGCTGCGCTTGAAAAAATGATCAAATATGTTTCACCTGGACGATGTTTGAATGCACTGGTTGCTGCTGGAGCTAAGTAAGAATTGTGTAATAATTAGTAGCCTATTTTCGCTAACTGAACTTTATGAAAAGACCATTGAGAAATTTAGCCTGAAAATGTTTGCATCCAAAATAATTCTCCTTAATCCATTTCTATTCTTTTTAACTTATAGTGTATAACGTTCGATAGATTCGCAAATATGCAAATTAAGGAAGTCATTTTTTGATCAAAGATCAAAAAGATTAACAGAAATTACAGCAAAACTTCATAAAACGAATATCAACCAGTATAGTTTATACAATAATTCCTTTAATTTCTAAATTTTTTCAGAAGCAAAAGCAATACAATTCGAGCATGTTGTGCGAATTTATTAGTGAAATTGATGGAACGTGTAGGACCCATAAATACTATTAATAGCACTGAATTTTCATGCTTTATCACATCTTTGTTACTATTTGCTAAAGATGCAAATGCAACAGTACGACGGACTGGAAAATATGGAATAAGGTTGCTTAGCCAGGTATAAAAATATATTTTTTTTATTATTTATCAAAATGTACAAATTTAAAATTTGAAAATTGAAGAAATCAAATATTTTTTGCCAACATAAATATCACAATTGAAATTTGATAAATACATAATTGTAATGTTAAAAAAGTATAAAAAAAAGCCAAAGATGTGAAATATCTTGAATTTTGTGTATTTATGTTAAATTTGTAATGATAATAAATGTATTTGTAGAAAAAA